TTTGTTGAAAATGTTCAGAGTAAAAAAAAAAATCTGCAACCTGCAAGTAGCCTATGTTATAAATAGGCATGTTTAGCATTACTTTCTAATAGGACGATGTCTGGCAAACAAAAGATGGAGGAAGTAACGTTAACTGATGCTGGTAAAGATTCTTAGTCATCCAGGTCAATCCAAAAAAGTAAAAAAAAAAACTTGGAAAACAAAGTCCAGTGGATTGTTTTTTATTTTCTAAACATTTTGGAATAACATTAACTGATCTAGTAACTAAAATCTGTTTCAATCCTGCCAACCTATGATCGTTTAAAATTCAACATGAATAAAGTCAGACCGATCTTTAGAACCAAATGTCTGTAGGAGGTCCTTTACTACAAACAGCAGAAGATCCCCTGATCTCGCTCTGATGATTATATGCATTCAAAACTTCAACTAAAGTCTAACTTAATATGCAAAACTTTTCACTCTTAGATCAGTGGATGCCCTCAGGAGCAGAAGCCCATCCGTTTCATGCTTCCAACCTCCGCATCCATCATCTTCATAGTTCGGTCAACCTTTTCTCCTCCCATTTGAAAGCTGTGCATTAAACCTCTGCTGCTAATTATTGTCCCAAACTACTGTACATGCAAACTGTACGACTACTGCATCATTAACTGGATGGACTGAGTCCAATGGAAAACTCCTCACTGAGCTGATCAAAGCCCCTTTAATGCTGTCAGAGGCTGCAGAGTCTGATGATATTTTCACTCCCTTTATAATGAAATAAATCAAAGAATGTATGTTGTACAGCAACTCGATTCAAGTCTGCAAAAGCATGGCATTTAAAATGAGTAAAAGGGATGTGATTCATATTTCCTCATTTGTTCACATATAGTCACAAAACATCTGAATAACTTCAGGTTAATAAGAAAAAAACTTAATGCCATGCTGCTAAATGTTAATAAAAACAAACTCCACCTGCAAGATTGTGACTTAACACTGTTTTAGCCATCAGAATAAAAAAAATCCAAATACAGCCGAAGTAGTACCTTTATTATGAAAGCCTAAAATGATTTATTTTGATAAATTGATGGTTTTAGGCCCATGCAACACTTCTGTGGCTCCAGTATATCCCGGACCTTCACACTTAACTAAGGGTGGAGGTTTATGGTGGGAAGATGCTCCACATTTGAGCAGCTAAAGAACAGGACAACCATCCAAAGGATTGCAGGTTTAGGAATTTGCATTTGAATAAATCTATAAAGTCCAACAAAATAAGGGCAATTAAAAACATGTAAAATGTTAGAAAAAGGAAAATATTATGCACAGCTTTAATTGCAACAAGAATGTACAATGACAAAGCTGTTGAAAAGCTGCTTTTTAAATTTAAAACTGCTATCAGGTAGCTGCAACCTGTTGATTAGATCACCACAAGACGCACAATGAATTGTCTCATGTAGACATGTTGGGTAACTCACATGATAAACAGATTCTTAAAGACACAGCAAAAAGGGACAAATTAGATTTTTTTTAAGGCTTCAAATTGATTAAACTTATTTTAGTGAAGGTTAAATAATACGCAGTTTCGAAAGTTAAAAATAACAGAACAATTGTTCTGCTTAGGGATATAAACAAATACTTAGCTTATGATTATAGTTAATAGATTTTAGATAAAAATGTTATCCTTCTGATTAATGATGTCAATTTAGGATTTTCTTTCAGTGTTGTTACCGTCCACTAGAGGGCACCACTGTTCATTCTCAATAGGAGCCTTACTGGAATTTGCAAGAAGTAATGTTAGAGCAGAAATATGAATAAATCCCAAATCTAATTTGGGATTGTTTACACAGTAATGGTGACAAGGATGCAAGTTATGGCCTAAATAGCGTCTATTTAGTCCTCCTACAAGACGAAGCAGCGCAGCTAGCCTGTTGTGTTCAGAAAGTTTGGATGTGATGATAGAAAAGTGGATGGCATTGTGCAAAACATTGTTAACATGATCGAGGAGACATGCTAAGCGTTTTAAGCACAGATGGGGAATGCTCGTCTGTAATGTATCTCATGAAGCAAAGTTTTAACATTCCTCTTAGTGCAACCAAACCACAGGTTTAAAGGTGCTGCTAAAAGAGCAGAGTCCATCCAGCACCAATTTCTGGATTAAACCAAAACCAGGGAGCTACGTCACAGCTGGCGTCCAGTTCATTGAAACAATGTGGCAACAGCCTGACAGTATGTCAGAGCAACATATTCTATCATTTAATGATGGCTTTCCATCCCTGTACATAAAAATTATAGGTGTTTTACGTATTTGATCCGTTTTATTCAGTAATCCCATGCGTTTGTGTTTCATCATTTTACAATGTCTACTTTAATACTGTTTAAAAAAATATATTTTTTGCTCATTCTTCCAGCAATTAATACAGCTGGTAAAATAAATAGTTTAAATATAATGATGTACTGTTTTCTAATTTCAGCATATCGTAAAACAAAAAATATTCAATGTTTAATTGTAAAGAGCCTCTTGACATAAAAAGAAAATGGCCACTTACAGTAATAATTTTAATTCCATTCATCCTTAACTTGCATCCCTGATTATATTGGTTATAAGTAGAAACATGCCTACTGTTACACAAAGTGATGGATAACTAAAACTGCATTTAAGGTATTTTTCAGGTTTACTTTTAGAAGAATAACTTAGAAAATAGGGTGTATATTAAAAAGGTATTTATCTGCTTTTACAAGTAAAATATCTTGATATACCTTTATCTTAATTTGCATGATGACAGCTAATTACCAACCTAACTATTTATCTTCCACAGGGTTTATAGACGTGTCCATACATGGATGAAAAGATTAGATTTAGATCTGGGCTCCATTTCATCCCAAAGCTGTTTTATAGGGTCATGAAACACCTTGATGACGATTAAAATTTCTTTAAAAAAGCTTATTTTTTCTTTAGTATAGTGGAGTATTTCGATAGAAAAGTTTTGCAAATAAAGTCCTTTGACCATTCCAACGCTTCACTGGCAGTTTCAAAGTTTTAGGGCTTTTGCCTTATAGGGTATGCAGCGGATGGTGTGAATACTGCCAGCACATTATGTGGCCTGTCCTCTTTACGTCTACATCTTGTAAGCAAGCTCCTTCACTCTTATAGACAACCTGACAGTGTGAGAGACACAGCCATTGTCAAGCAGGGTACAACAGAGAGCATCCCAGCACCCGCAGGCGCATGGAGCCAACATTGGCTTGTGCAGTGAAGCCCACAGAGTCTTAATTGAATTGATAGGGAACATGGAGAGGGAGCGGGAAAGTCAGGGAGAGAAGTGGTGAGGAAAACAGAGCTGGAACGTAGAGGGAGGGGACCAGAGACCAAGAAACTGAGGGGGAAACAGAGACAAGAATCTAAAAATAGAAGGAGACAAGGAGGTGGTAGATTAATAAACAGCTGACTGAGAAACAAACATTTGCAACCAAATAAGAGAAAAGAAACCAGGAAGGTTTGATAAATAGAGCAGAGGAGAAATAATTAGAATGTGAACTCGGTGAAAGAGGAATGAATCTATTACCAGGGTGTGATGGTAAATAATGAAGGAAAACAAAGGGTTTAATGAAAGATAATGAGAAACAGACAAGCAGGCAGGAGGTAAATTCTTGGAGCAAATCAAACTGTTGAATGGATAATAGAGCTTCTCCCCATGACTACAATTAATGTTTTCTCCAAGTCTTCAAACTGTAGGATGGAAATAGACAAAACATGAACTGGCCTTTACAAAGCTACTAAAATAAAAGTCTATGTTTGGTTGGATTTCCAGATTAGGTTTACTTTAAACGATGGCTGAACAAATACAGGCACTGACAAAAGATTGGAGATAAAAAAAAAAATATATGCATTATTACCAGCTTCAGCTTCTAAGGCAAGTCTTTAGACAGGGAGTACATTTTATTGTTGAACATGCTAGTTAATATTCTTCTACTAGAGCAATATAATAATGGAATAGTGAATAAAAGAAAAACATTAAAAAAGCGGATTTTCCTTTACATTTTTTTTAGAAATGCCTGTGGAGTTTTAAAGGGGGTCCTAAGACAGAAACTAATCATGTTTAGGGGTCATAGCCTAAAAAATATCCTGACATATTTACACAGATGAACCAATCATTCAATAAAAATCAGGGCAAGACAAATTCACATCAACTAGCCCTGGAAGAGTGAAAAGTTTAGAGCTGAAAAAATAATTTGTAACATATTCATTAAATACTACAAACTAATAATGCTTACATTTTCTGTCAACGCATCCACCAGCTGCATTAAATGTAAGTCTATTTAAAAGCAAAAAACCAAAAGAGATTATGGAAATATAGAAAATGCCGATTGGTTTTTCTTCACAGTTATGAAACTCTTTGTAGTAAATATCCTTGGTAGGGATCATATCAAGCTCTTAATGCCTGTTGAAGCTTGTAGACTGCATGCTGCTAACTTCTCTGTTTTGCCACGCTTTAAAAACTGAGAAATCTGGATGTTCCTGCAGGCTGAGACAACAGAACAAGTCTTCTCCAGACAGGAACTGTACTTTCTTTTAATCGCTTACCTTTATTCCACCAAAATTTGCCTTCAGTAGATGTGAGCTGAAGTTAAAATTAAAGAAATGAACTCAACTTTGTCGTACAAACAGTTGTTCAGATACAGTAAACGTGATAGATACCAGGGGAAGGCTGTTAAACAAACAAAGCAGTAATTATTGCAAAGGAAACTGTTATGGAGGCGAGCAAAATCAACCAGCCTAAGTCATGGAGGAAAAATGTGCTTCAAACAGCCGTGATGGATGCAGATCTATTTTTTCCACTCTGTATGAGATGTAGGCAAACACCTTTACGCAAACAAAGCAAATCTGAAAATCTTAAACAGGATTTTTTGAATAACTTAAATGGAAAAAAATTGTCTCCAACCAAGCTATACACCCCAACCAGGATCATTACATGCATGTTTACCATTATGTTGGTGCTGCCTGGAGTTTTGTTTTCATATCTCACCTTAATGAGGTCTCCTAGTAGTTTGTTTGCTTCAGTGTAAGCCTTCTTCACCTCCTTGAACTTATTTCCCAGCCCCATACTGTGAGCCTGCAAAGAGAAAAAAAAACAAAACAGCAGGAATGAGCAGTACATACCATATTTTTATTTTCCTCTCTCTAAATGTATGAGATCCATAATTTATTTGTCCAATTGGTATCTTGCTGATGCAGCATAAGAACCATTAATTAGCACGCATACTATTACACAAAGTGATTTGTAACAGAAAAAGCAGAGATGGATGCATTTTCGTTGATTCATTTTCAAAGGTATAGGCTATAGGAAAATAAATCTTATGGAAAAAAATGTGCAGTTACTGCTAAAAAAAGAAAATTTAAGCAATTTGGTCAGCCATTGTCTTGTGCTAAAGAGATTGAGCCTCAGAATCTTAAGATGTTGAAATGTTTTCATGACCCCATGCTTAAATGGAATTAATAAAAAAACCTGCCAATACATGTCTTGGTCCTTCAAATATTAATTATCTTTGTTAAGTTCAAAGGCCATGATAGCATTTTTCTGTTGGTGAAAATATATTTGTATAATATTAAATAGCCAGCATGTATTAAGTCTGCCTCTGATTGGCTGATCATGACGGCTCATCACAGCTCAATCTCTGAAAGCTACAGCTTTTGGATAGCTGCTTGTCTTCTGACTGAAGATGGAAAAGAACCGTTCTGTCAATGAGACCCGGTAATCTCGATGTTTGGTTGGGATTTTGTTCTACATTTCCTTTGTCTGCTTTCCTTACTTCCAAAAATTTTAGGGCATTTTTTAGGAAAATAAATTAAGGATTTTTCTTCTTGATCGTCTAACCAAGCTCAGTATTTTAAGGGCATTTCTTGTCTCACCCTACCAAGTCCAAAATTTTAAGCACTGAACAGTAAAGACATCCAACTAAGTCAAAAGAGATTCCTTCACACAGAGTCGCCTTAAAATCGAAGGAGAAAAAACCCAATTTTTCTCCATTTGGTGTAGAGAGAACAAAAAACAAGACATCTGCTTCTAGCCAATAACTGACCATCTTTTCCTGTTCCATCAGATGTATTCTGGTTCTGGTCACAGATCAAAGATGGTTCCCTACCCTGGTTTTTTCCTCTCCAGAATAAAGTAATAAATCTCAAAATAAGGTCACAATTCTCTGTTTAAACCCATGAGAGACCAGGACGATTAAAATAAGAGTAAGAGAGGGAGATTAAGAGTAAAATTAGCTCAGCATCTTCTTTGTCTTGTTTTTTTTTGCATTGTTGTTTCTTTTTTTTGACTAGAAAAATAGGCCAAAACATATAGCACAAGCATCATTAAATATACTTCCAGCTGCCCAACCAACATACTCTTAGTAATAAGATAAAAGAGTTGTTGGAAAATCAACTTACCGTATTTTCACGACCATAAGGCGCACCGTACTAAAAGGCGCAGTCTCAGTTATGTGTCCCATTTCTGTATTTAACACACACATAAGGCGCACCGGACTATAGGGCGCATTTTTTATATACAGGTGCATGTCCTCTACTACCTTTAAATACCTCTACTGCGTATTTAAAAATACAGCGGGGGCAAAACTGAGTATGATTGTGCTTTATTCATGTATTTATTACAAAGTATTAATCAAACCTGGCAGCTGGCCGTGAGACAGACACATCGCAGATGACACAGCGCTGTGGTCACTCCTAAATTAACTTAAAATCCTGAAACCTGCCGACAGAATATGTTCGCTTTTATTGCCGGTATCCTGGTGCCTGCAGCTAAAATTATTTAGATGAAAAACACCTGCCAGCAGCCGCGGTTAACGAAAGGATTTCTCCTGTCTGTGCACCGCTGGTATGTGGGGGTCTGAGCGCCTCCGACAGAAATAGATAATCTGGATGAACTGACTGCAATTATTAAGTTTTCAGGTGGACTTTCTCACTTAAAAACATATTAAAACTACTTTATTCCCACTGATCACAGCAAATATAGCTGCAAGACTTAGATTATTTAGATGAAAAAACACCTGCCAGCCACCGCGCTGAAGAGGAGGAGACTGCTGTTGAATTAAGTTTTCAGGTAGAAAAATAGAGCGGGAGCAAACCTGAGTATGATTGTGCTTTATTCATGTATTTATTACAAAGTATTAATCAAACCCATCAAAGTCATCATCCTCTGTTATCCTTAGCATTCCTCCGAATAAAACAGCTGCGCTAAATCAGACATGCCAGTTTCCCCTTCTTCGCTGTCAGTCACTTTCCGTGCAGCGCAGCTCCTCAGAAATAATGCCGGCTTTTGCAAAAGCTTGAACAACAGAGCCAGCAGACACTTTAGTCCATCTACAATCCATCCGCAAACGGTGGCGTAACTTGCCCGGCGCTGCCTTCCATTTATCATGAAACTGTGGTCTCCGTCTGTCATCCATCGCTCCCACGCCGCTCGCAGCCTTACTGTGAACGGGCGCTTCACACCGATGTCGAGCGGTTGAAGTTCCTTTGTCAGACCCCCCGGGATAACGGCGAGCACAGCGTTCATTTGATTCATCTTTTTTTCACATCGGCTGTGAGATGGGCACGCAGCGATGGTGATGCGTGGAAAAAACCACCTAGTCTTCTCACATACACCTGTCTCAGCCACGCATCCACCGAGCCTTTTCATTTGCGTTAATATCATATGTCATCAGAGCGCTGTCTGTCTCGCTGTCAGCTCCCAGATCAGCTTCTCTGATTGGTTGATGCGGCGCGTCCAGCAGCAAAACTTCAATTTTTCCATGTCGAGCAGCAGCAGGGCGTTGGCGGTGCGTCAGATGCTTAAACGCTCCCGACGTGCTGCACCTGCTGCTCAAAACGCGCTGCAGGACCTTTTGCTGCACCTATACGCGCGTCAACCATTGACTTTGCATGTAAACTCGCTGCTTCTGCTGCACCTGCTGGGTCCGGTTCACACCGATGTCGAGCGGTTGAACAGCGAGCACAGCGTTAATTTGTTTCCCCATGTTTTTCACATCAGCTGTGAGATGGGCACGCATGGAGTTACATATTAACAGCGATGGTGAGGGATGGAAAAAAAAACACCTGGTCACCTTACATTCAGCCACTCTTTCATCATCTCCTCAATGAGGTGGTCTCAAAAGTCGCAGTTACAACACACATAGGGCGCACCGCACCATAGGGCGCACTGCACATTTTGAGGGAAAAAAAAGACGTTTAAGTGCGCCTTATAGTCGTGAAAATACGGTAATGGGTTATCTATTAAAAAAAACACCCAAACAAAAATGGTTGCCAAGTTAATAAAACAGAGGATAGATGCTACAGCAGCTATGCGTACCTGGAAGTGTAGGTTAGTGTACTGTCCTCCAGGTATCTCGTTCTCATAGACATCAGCGTTTCCTGATTTCATGGTGGCAGTGCAGTCGAATGGCGCGTACAGGCCTCTGGTTACTTCCCAGTACTCGCTGTAGTCGAACACCTTCTCCAGAGCAATGCCTGCGAAACAAGACAGCTAATCAATGAACAGTGCACAGCTCTGTATAATTTTGAAATATTCACCAATAGGCACCCGTAAACTCGTCTGCAAAACTGTGATGGAAGAGGCAGTTTGTGGTTAAAATCCAATACAAAACTTTATGCTTTATTTTCTTTACGCTGACCAGAGAAGAGTTGTATTCCAATCTTTGCACACTGACAGTTTTTCCATTTCTCTGATCAATTATGCAAAATTAAAAACCAAACACTTTTTAACGGTGTTAATAATTTATAGGAAATACTCATTTATTACCCATATTACAATGTGAGATTTGGAATATTGTGTTAATGCAGCTTGTCATTTATCAGAGCTGATGAAGATATTTGCCATCTCACAACATCTGCCAGCTGAGGAAATAATTTCACAATAAAAGCATAAAATCACTATGTTTTTAAAGGTTACATATATATAAGCAAGTAATTAATATCTCGGAGTTTCTATACAATGTGTATCTGGTTTCTTAGATGCAATATATCACGGTTCCATGATCCCCCTTTCACATCTTGATTATGTGACATATTTGATTTCTTGTTCTTATCAGCCCAAGCTTAAAAAGCTGATCTGTATTCTAGTCTAGTCATCCTGATATTTAGTGAAGCATCTGTTTCTCCTTTGTGAGACATCCTTCTGTCAGTTGTTTACCTTTAATTGGAGAAAAACAGCCTCAGTGCTGAAGCACAAATGGCTCCGCTACCGTTTTTTTTTGCAAACGGGGGTAAAAATGGGACAAAACCAGCAAACCTGTTGTGACAGACTGACAAGGTTGTACATTTAAATTAGGAATAGAAACAGCAAAGTGTTTCTGAGCCTAAATTGTGGTCTCTGAAGGAATTGAGCTACTGCGATATTAATGTGAAATTAATGTGCGTGTAGCTGCTCCTCAAACTCAGCTGTCTACCAAGCTGGTGGGTAATTGGGTCCATTTGCTTCTCTGCTTGCAAACACACGATTCTCACAGCTTTCCTTTAAGCTTCCAGAGTAAAACTGCAGCTGCTCCTTTAAACTGGGAAGGAACCTCATGATCAGAATGTCAGCAGCAATCTCTACAGAGAACACCACATTTCTACAAAGCAATCAGTAAAATAATTAGTAATCATGTCATGGCCTCAGATTATGGACATGAATCTAGATTTTCATTATGTTACCAGGACAGTTAGTGCAACATGCAAGGAAGATTTCCATCTCCACTGTTGCTGCGTGCATGCTTGGTGTGAGGCGTTTAGGCCAAGGCCACACAACACAGGCAAATGTTCACAACATGCTCAAAGAGATCAGGATTCTGTAGTCAATGCAATCAGCTGGTTTGCTTAGGAAATATTTAACAAGTATTTAGGTGTGGTTTTGTTCAATTGTCTCTAAAATGCCTTGATACTATCTGAGTTGTGAGTCAGCCCTAAAAAATAAACTAAATTAAAATGAATTAAGTGTGAAAAGTAGTAAATTATAAGGGCAGTGGAAAAGTTGTTTACAGGGGGACAAACATCTGCATAACTTTTAAAGCAGGCGATGAGATTAAATCAAAGAAATTAGCAGAATAAAATAAGAAAATACTAGAATCTGAAGTAATGAAGTAGTGAGATAACATTTTAAACTAAGGAAAAATAGGGTGCTTTTAAAAAGGTTAAATAAATGTAAATTTCAATGAAAATCTAATTTATACAATCATAAGGTGTACTTTTTCCTATGCATTTATAATGTTGAAATCAAAGGTTTATATAACCAAATATATATAGTAAACAATGGAAGTTTTCTTCTATGATTATAGTATCAGCAGCTTTATATGATAGAAAGATATAACAATATGGTCAATGTTGAGGTTTTCAATTTATTTCCAAAAGACTGGGTTCATATTTGAAAAATATATTTTAAAGCAGTCTGGAGTTCTGATATTTCAACAGCCTATAGTCCCAGCTGTTCCTAAATGCAGCATGAATAACTGTCGGTAAAATCCCCTCCAATCAACAGGGTTTCCTCTGACTTTCATTTTAATGTTTAGCTTGATGGGATGCCAAAGTAATCTGGAGGCGTAAAGACCATTTTGGGCCTCTAGATAATGTTTTCAGTACCAATGAAGCTCACATCAAGCTTGGTCTTTATTTTGGGTTAATAATTTAGTTAGGTGTAGGAAATTATTACTGGGAATAGCTGAACTGTTACATCTCTCTTGACTAAGATTAAACCAGACGAAAGTTTTCACCTTTAGATCAGACACTTAACTGGTCGATTCTCAACACCGTTTTATTTTATTCCTACTTTCTTGTCAGAGGTTTAAATACACCAAGACTGTCTTCAAACAGTTTAAGGAGGAGCAGGTTATATAATCAAACTGATCAGGAAGGAACCGATTTATCTCCAGAAGATCAACTTGTTTTGGGTGTCTGTGCAAGATCAAAACAAAAGCAGATCTTCTCAAGGTGTAATTATGCATAGTTCTCTACACACATGGGCTAGGAGGTGATCAGAGCAGAAGAAGCTATCTGGAAAATAATCATCATAAGCTATATTATAGTTTCACAAAATGCAAAAGTAGCATTCATTTTGTAAGATGTGTCCCATGTGCCTGATGAAACTGAAGATAAATCGCATCTTAAAAATAAATTGCACCATAAAAAAATATATATATTCGGAAAATCGTCATCCGTAAGACTGTTTAGGTTGGACAGAAATCTGTCTTCCTTAAGCCCAAATTATTAGGGAAAAATAAGGACAACTAAGATGTTTTAGAGCAGGCATCAACAAGCCCTGATCTTGGCGCCATAGAATATTTGTGTGAAAATATAAAAAAGGTTTTGAGAACAATGCTAAAACCTTGACCCAGTTACAGCAGGTTTGCCAGGAAGGGGAGAAATCCCAGCAACCCTTTGTGAGAGACAATCGACTCAAATTATACGGTAATTCTATCAAATATGAGCAGGTTTCCGAACCAAGAGTTCAAAAAAATCTGCTATAAAATCTTGCCAATCATTTTGGAACCAAGATAAATACCAACATTCCATGAGACATTAACAGTCAAACACTGATTAAATGTGTCCTTACACAGTTTGTAAATATTCGACTCAAGCAGTAGGTTGTTTACAGTACACGCTCTTGTCTTTGATGTTTGTTTTTTTGAGTTCTCCTATGATATTTGTTGTTCCTGTGCAATGCCCTACCAAAGAGAATTTATGTATAAAAATCGACTTGGCAGTAAACCCAGTTCTGATTCTGATTTGTGTGTGTTTAACTCCTACACCTTGACCGACTGCAGTGTTGCGGCATCAATTAAAGCAATGCATGATGCATGAGGAAATGGATTGAATGCAGTCAAACACAAGCACCACTTTAATATGCATCATCATTCAAACTGGAAATGTGCCACACTTAAATAGCACAGGTCTATGTGGTGGTTGGAGCTAACAGAGTACACAAAATGACATTTTAAACTAATTTAAAGATACTTCATGGGCAAAAATGATACAAGGATGTCAGAAAATGAGCATAGGAGGGATCCAGGTGTAAGAAGCTGCTAATCGCATAGTCAAATTGAGAACCAAACAAGAGGGGGATGTAGAGACAATATGACAGAAGCAGGTATGAGAGGCGAGAGTGAGAGGGATGGAGACAGTGCAGAGCAATGATTACAGGTTTGGAGCCAAGATAGGAGAAAAAGGGAGTGTAGGAGTGAAGGAAGGCAGTAAACAGGCAAAGGTCAGGAAGGTATGCAGGAAACCAAGGGAGAGCTGTGCTTGATTATGAAAGTGGTGAGGTAGGCAAGAGGAGATGGAGGAGGGAGCTAGCACTAAGTGAGGCCAGAATGGGAAGAGACCAGCAGAAGGTGACTGGAATAAAAGTATTAGGTAGTGAAAAATGCCAGTCAGGATCATACCATATGTATGAATAAGGCAAATTCTCACACCTGAATATCCGTCTCATCTTTTTTGATATTCTCTTACCAAACTGAAGCGTGTGTCGGCAACATATCATGCTTTGTGGGTGGCCCTGGCTGATATTTGTTCAAAGGCCTCAACAGAAACCTGTTGCTTTCAGCTCAGAACATGTCAATGGTGAAAGCAGCAGTCATGCAAAAAAAGAATTTCCCTCTAAAAGCAAGAATCACAGTAAGAACACAGCATGTTTTAATGGCTCTGTTGCTCTGTGGCTCAGGACAAAAAAAAAATGTTTGTATTCAAGCTCTTATGCAAGAGTACTATTTTTCTGTGCAAGATTGTTTGAATATTTCTGTGGAGACAAATGACACCAGCAAAGAGGTCATTTTACTTGCGGACACCAGCGGGGACACACTGGACCAATAGCTTATTGGTGTTTTATGTTAGACAAAAACGCCCTGCAGCTCCTCTGGAAATACTGACTGGAAATCAGGTTGTCTGATTAATTCAAAAACTGTTATGAAAAAGGAAAGAAAACTGCTTGAAATGGGAGAAATAAATCAGTTTTTACAACAAAAAAAAGACTTTTTAAAAATGTGTCAAACATTCTCATCCATCACTGATGGGCAGACATGTAAAATGGTTTAAAACCACCAGTTATTTCCTTGTCATTTGTTTCAAAGCTGTCAAAATGTCAACTGTTGGTTTTTTTTGTTTTAAACTTTGCATCTTATTTTTGGCTGCTTTTTATCTCCTTGTTCAGTCCAATCCAAGCACCTGAACATGACAGTAAGTGGTGAGATTTGTTAAAGCTGATGAACGGTGGCTGACCATTTGAACTGTAGGACAGTACGGCAACATTTTAAAAAAGCCATAACCGAGGTAAGGAGTAAAACCACAGTAAAATGCCAGGTAGAGTTTTCTACTTTTATTTAAAATTTTACAGGATTCTGCATCGGGTCTAAACACATTCCTGACCATGCGTTTAGCTTTTACGCGTGTTAAAGCATTCCTCCATCATCTTGCACAAACGAATATTGAGTGATGATTCAAAGCCATATTAATGTATCATAATAGCACTGAAGTAAAAAATCTAATCATTAATTTTAGATTACCAGAAAAAAGAAAGATTTCTAAAGAAACACCAGAAACTCTGAACAAAGAGTAAAAGCCTTGTTGGTTTAAATTTGCTGTGTGACCTCAGACGTGGATGGTCCACCTATGATTAAGGAGCATAATTAAATGTTTTGTGAAAAGTCAAGGCTGCTGAAAAACTGCTTAGCATCTGCAGAGCCCAGCTTATCAGAGCTTACGGGGGACTTTAAGACCGTTGCTAATTTAATGCATTATCTGCTTTATAGCAGCAAACTAAATGCACATAATGGAACTAAGACCCTGCAGTACAGAATTGAAAACAACAAACAGGACGTTACAGGGAGGTGTGAGTGTAAACAAACTCAGCCTAGCTTCTCCGGGTTCTGAGGAATGGAAACGAGGGATCAGATCTACTTCAGAGCAGAGTCCTTTTTCCCCAAAAACCTTTTGCCACACAAGCTTCTATTTTCACATCGTGCCCTATTAATTTAGGTTGTTAAATGTTCCTTTAGTTAAAAAAACAAACACAAAAAATCTATATGTTTTGCTACTGATTCTTTCATGTCCAAACCACTTTGTTTTCCTTGCTCTGGGAGGTTGGGGTCCAGCGAGTTATCAGTGGAGGAGGGATTCAAGCTTTTCCACAACCCATGAAAATTATACAGTCACTGTGGACAAAACAGAACCACAGGAGAACAAAAACAAAAAAATACCTCAAAATTTTATCTTATGACCTCCTCAGAGGGGTCCACAAGAGCTCAAAGATATCTGACAAAACCCTGCAGCACGTTACTAAGAAAGCCAATAAATAATAGTCATAGTGAGGTTGCCTTGGAGATTCAGAATAAAACCGCTGGCAGCCTCCAGAGAAAGCCACTCCATTCTCAGAGTAAAGAAGTGCCTGTCCATGGCAACAAATTTACCTTTCCTCATTGTATTTAAAATACACATTCAAAACACAATGAGCATTTTAGTATCAAAGCTCGTTTTATTCTTCTAACCATCTGAACAGTTAATTCATGACTTAATTTCTTTTTCCTTTGGCTGCAGATCTTATTGACAGTAGGCTTCTTTCTCCCCTCTTCATAACTGTCTGTGTACATTAACACTCAGCAGAATGTGCAGGTCTCTCCAGCCCAGGGCCATAATTACAAATGCATCATTGATTTGTTGATTGATTTTTTTCCCCTCCTCATGTTAAGTAGCAGACTTTTAGTCAGAAAGACTCAAATTATTTCTACGCCACAGTAGTGATCTAACAAACTGTCTCATTAACAACTGCGCCCTGCAGTATGAGCATGGAGAGTAAATCTAAAGTTATTGTTTCATATTAATGATTTTATTCCGTCAAATGTAATTATAAACAGATATATCTTCATATAACCGGTTTGTGCTGACAACGTAAAAGGTTACTATCACTTTATGCAGCGTTTTCCTTGGTTCTGATGGGTTTTTATTGGTCCTGCTGGGATTTCGTGCTGCAGAGACGGGCCTTATTGCTATTGGATTTTATATTATTGAGCTGTCACTTTCAGGCAGCATCAAAACTCTTGAGATTGGTGCACGACCTCGAATGAAACATGTTATGTCCTTCAGCTTTGCTGTTCGTATAAGAAAAAATGACGAGATGAAAAACTGTTTCTCAATGAGGCCACAATCCATGCTCATCTTTGTTGCCTTTTTTCCCCCCTTGTTTGAAAATGCTTCTTTCTCTGCCAGTTTGATCAAACCTTAGGAATAACAGCTGGTTTACCTACGTCATACAACATTTTTTGTAATCATTCAAAAAGATCACTTTAAACAAACTTGACAATTTCTCTTCTGTAAGTCATAATTTCTGAGTTGTATCAGTGGATCTAAGTCATGCATTAAACAAGAGTAGCACTGCTTTCTAATACTAGACTACAGTGGATTAAAGAGTGCTTTGTTTAATTTGGTAATTACAAATACTGTAGCATTTTGTTGATTTGCTTTCCTTCTCCCATCATTCTTCTGTTTAGCTTTGATTATATAAGATAAAAAAAAAAAACATTCATACCTATGCTGATAAAAAAAAGTAGTTGTTTGGGTCCAATTGAAACATTTGCATTAGTTACAGAATCACACTTTCTTTACTTGATGGAGAACAGAGAGCCGATCATTTTCAACCCAACAATTAAAGGTTAGAGGTCTTTGCTAAAGTTAACAGAAAACATGCAATAAGAATACATTTATTTGTTTTAATTTAGTCAGCCTACTGCCCCTTGAAAAGCTCTTATGTATGAAAGGCTATGCTTTCTTCATGATCCTGCTACCAGAGTCCTGACCATTTTTTTTCCATTTCTTGCTTTTATTTACTGTTCAAATATTTGGCTTTACTCACCAGTGTCATGTTTGGTTCCTCTGGTGCAGGCAACGATGGCCCCCATGCTCGGCTGAGACGTCATCCCTGCCATAGAGTCAACCTGAAGGGAAAACAGCAAACAGACTTTTTAAATAATTACACAACCTACTTATTTTTTATGTGTAATCAGGGAAAATATGCCAAAGTCATTAAATGACATTACTACAATGAGAAAGGCATCTCCATAATGGGTTAATAAAAGCAATATTTCACATTGAACTGATAAAGTGCATAGATCCCAACTACCTAAAGATAATGTAAAAAAAAGTATCCTAGCACTTACAGGTATATATTAAAGTAATTAATTTTGTGTCTTATGTTTGTGAAAGAAAAACAGAAAGGGATAAGAGAATTAAAAGTGGTAACAGCAGACTATGTCTTAAATGCACCAGCTTATGCTGAACTTATTGAACAAAGGGAAAAAATTGTTACTCACAGCCACGTCAACCACATCTGCTCCTGCTTCAGCACAGGCCAACATGGCTGCCACGCCTGCCCCAGCGGTGTCGTGTGTGTGAACATGAATGGGAACATCTGGGAAACGATCCCTCAATGCGCCGATTAGAAGCTTGCTGGCCTCGGGCTTCAACAGGCCGGCCATATCCTAGAGAGAGACACAGGAGATTGTATATTGGTATTACCATACAACGCTGTGGATATTACCCACACAACACTGTGAACATAGGGAGATTTCTTCAATGTTGAATCATACTGTTGTGCAGTATACCAGTTATTCATGGCAAAATTCAGGCATTTTTTGTAAACCTGTTAAAGTTATAGGTTTACTGCTATAGGAAGTTCAAATGGACAGTAAAACAAAGCATATCTTCAGTGCAGAGAGAAGCCTTTGAGTGGTGGGTCATCAAACAGCCGTTAACACTAAATGTCTAAAGGGGAAAAAAGCAGCAAAAGAATGACTCCTTTGTCAGCAATTTATATTAAAAAGCCTGCTCTCAGTTTCCAGGTCAACAGCCATTATACTTTCAGACATGCTTTTCCACACTTCTTGCATTTCTGCTTCCAGTTTTAAATCAGTTATTTACCTCAATCAAGTTAGAGGTTTTTCACAGCAGACCAACCTTCTAGTTGAAGAGATTATAGAAGCCTGCCAGCACAGTAAGCAGGACTATTACACCACTATGGCGAAGGTCAGAAAGGTACAGCAGTGTCTCAACTGCAGACCAACAAACCGTTTAAATGTAGTTTAATTTATCAGCTTATTTAGAAGAATGGCAAGAAAATTAAAGGTATAGTGGAGGATTATTTCGAAATAAAAAAAAATGCACATGCACAACCTTGTACCCGCTGCCAAGAGGAACTCAACTGCTTCTGCAGCCAGAAATAAGTAAAAATTTCTTAAATTAAGTGTATTTAACCTTAATTTGAGTAGGTAAATGAGATACTTTGCCAATTGAATGAGTATTTTTAACTCTTAAAATAAGATACTTAGATATTATGCACTTGAAATAAGACAATGCAATTTATTGCTTCCTTCTGCTGACAAGCTTTACAATACTGTTAATTTCATTTTCCAGCAGGAGTGAACACGTCCCAAAATTACCAATATCCAGTACAATGACTATAGTGTCACTGTGCCCCATAGGTCAAGCTTTATCTCCTAAACGTCAATCTATTGATGCAGTAATTAATGCAAGGAAGCATGTAAAAGTAAAGTAACCTGCATAAAAGATTAGTATCAGCTAAAAGCTTTACTCAAAATTAACAGGTAGAAATAGTGAAATAGATATTTCTTTGGCATGAAATTAATGAAATATTTATAAAAATAAACATGCTCTATAAATATTAACAGAATAGTGTCAGATCTGCTGAATAAACTGACACATCGAGTCATTTAATTACTAAATGTAAGATTTTCCTCAAAAAATTAGCTAAAGCTTATTTTACCTCTACAGCATTTAAAAAATCCCAAAGCACCCAATTAACTATTGGAGCAGCATCTTCCCATTACACATTGATCTTTTTTAACCGTTCAAATTTGTGGAAACTTTAAGTGCAACACACTCGTTAGATGTGAATTTTAAGAAAATGAAAACTGTCCTGTTTTTCTTGAGTTCATAATAGCTTTACCGTCACAAGGGAAATAAATTTCGCTCAAGTTTAACACTTGCTGTGCAGCAAGGCTAAATATGAATATTTCACCTGCTTCCATCCAGCATAATGTTTTTCAAGAGCGTTTCTGGTGTGATGCTTGTGAAAATTGACTTTGCTCTGATATACATCCTTTGAAGTATGAAAATGAAACACTATGACATAGAGGTTATTCTCACTAATGATAATTACACACCCCAACATTTTTAGTCCCTTCCCTGCGACACTATTTATAAACTTAAAGCTAACCAGCGGTTTTTCAGCCTTCCATGCTGCCGAGTGTGATGATTCACACACTGTTCACTCCAGTAGACGGAGTTAATTTCTGCTCTGAAAAATATTTTGTCATGGCTGAGTGAAAAAATTTTTAATTATTTGTTGGTATTATTTGTTTATTGAGAAAACAGGCTCAAACATGCAAGTTATTTTGCTTGGAATAAGCAAAATAATTTCAGCGTCGCTCAATAGTCGACCTTTAAGAGTTTATTACTTCAAATACTTAAACAACAAGCAGCCTTGCTGCTGCATGCCCATTGATTATGAAAGACCTTTATAGAGTCTTAAAAGCAGATAAAACTTGAAGTAGTGGAAGTCTATATGACCAGCTTTCTAAACTGAGGAATTTCTGTCCACTCTTTGCAGCACAGTTAAACTTTGACAGATGTTTATTTTTGAACATCCCTACAGTATTTAAACTAGGTTGGGATCTAAAGTCTGATTGGTCATTGTGATACCATCCACAGCTAATTGTGGGCTGTTATTGGCAAGGTTTGGACCAATCTGAAGACTCAATGGACATTGAAGATCATAACTGGTAAATACATAAAGGCATGAGATGAGACAATTTACATTAATCAATGTCATTTCTCTGGCTGCGTATACCGAGAGGTTTATTTGGTGGAGGGTTTTGTTTCCATTTATGTTCAGGTGAATTTAGTTTGGAAATTTGAGTTTGGTTCAATGTTAACCAGTCTCTTTTTGTGGTCATTTGGATTTATTTATCGTTTGTCAAATTTGTCTGAAATAATTTCCTTTTCATTTCATTTTAGAGGTTTTTGGTGATTAACTTTGGATGTTTAAAAGATAACAGTGTAGGTTATAGTCCTGGAAGTCCCCTGTGGTTCATTTAGATGTTCATCTGGACACCCAAGTCTTGCGGACATATTTTCAAAAGAAAAAAATCCAACATACAAATTGTTTTCTAGCTGCTGTGTCATTAACTTTAACATCCTGACTAAGGCCTGCAGAATGTGCGATGGAGCTCTTGGGCTTTCTGTAATTTCTTAGAGAATTGCAAACTGTGATCTTTGAAAGAAGTTGCTGAGATGTTCACTCCTAGGAAAACTAACAGCCCTCTTTTATATTTTTCACCTGCCTAGTGTTCCTCATTATACAGCCACAAAGTTCAAAGAGTTTGGAAATTACCTTACAACCCCTCCAAGGTTAAAGGTCCTTATTGATGTTTTCCCACCTTGATATTGTGTTAACGCACACACTTAAATGTTTGTCCAACTCACAGCTGAGATCCCTGCTTTTATGGAGTTGGTCATACTTTCTGATCATCATTTAAATCAAGTGGAATCAGCTGATAGTAACTGACCGCTTCTTCCAGATAATTGGTCCTATTAAAGAGGAACAAGGGTGCACTTTATTTCCCCACAATTTAAACTTCACTGACATTTAATTTTTCCTTTTCTATGGCAGCAACACTTAACACTAGTGATCTTTGTGTAAGACAAAGAGCAACAGAGTGTTAGCTTGTTTACATAAAGTGATAACCTGACAAAAACAATCAAATGAGGATCATGAATTTTGCTCCCACTGTGTCATTATCGTTATTGAAACCAGGTTTATGTAGCTGGGGAAGGAAAAATAGATGGGATGGACTCCTGAGAGGATGCTTCCTCCCACCTTGCTCTTTATGTCTGCTCGTTATTCAGTGGGCAGACTGACTCAGTGGGAAGATACCGTTTCTGTCGACTGGGTTTATTTTTGAAAACCTAAGTGGGCTGTAAATGTTTGCTAGAGCAACACCTGGACGCTGGTGCAGCGTTTTCAATTCTTCACCTTGATAGAGAGGATGTGAGTCCCGGCTTTGATGAGCTCATCAGCCAGGTTCAAATAGTAGTCCAGGGAATATTTCTGCCTCATCGGATCGGAGACGTCGCCCGTGTAGGAGATGGCGGCCTCGACCACGCCGCCTGCTGCTCCAGCTGCTTCCATACCCAGCACCATGTTGGGCAGGTAGTTGAGGGAGTCGAACACTCTGAAGATATCCATGCCGTTCTCTTTGGCTACCTCACAGAACCTGACAGAAGAAGCAGAAAACATAACATTTGGCATGAGGCTGAGGGAGCCTTTTGGACCACACATGTTTCTAATGAGCTATCAACATCCAAAACTGAATTCCAGCTAATAATCCATTCCCATATTTTTACTCATAAACACTGCCAAACCTGAGTAAATAAAGCATTCGCACCAATTTCATGAACAGAGAGCTTATACAGCCTGAGGGAACCAACAATAACTGGAGACAAATGTACACTGGAGTCATTATCCCAGCTGCTTGTGGTAAATCCCTCATTATTGCCTTTGCCCCAGTATCTTAATCAGGTTTTTCATAACCACGATGAGCACTGACTGCAGACATGTTATCCTGAATACAATATTTACACACACACAGCCTTCGTTTCAAACAATAAATGAGAAGCATTGTGGTGCAGTGTGTTCATTTGTGCCACAAGAGGATTATCAGTCCATTCTGTGTTTGAGTCCAGTGTTAACACAATGTGGTCTGTGGTGGTAGATTAAAACCACTGCACTAACTGGTGTTGTGTATTAAGCCAAATCAAAGTCAGAAAGTTGACCTGTATATGATTTAACAATCTCATTAGTGAATCGACCCTCCAGACAGTTTGTGAATGATAGAATGCGTATTAATACCACATTTCATCACTAACCACAAACACATCAATGTATCCTATTGGTATTTTGAGCAACAGACCACTGTAAGGTGCTGGCTAATTATGAATTGGAAGTTTAATCTACCTTCCAACTTCCATTCCTCGATCAGCCTTGGATAAAATCCAGTAACTCAAACAGCTCATGAAAATGCCCTAAACAGTAAAAATCCTTTGAGTAGTCAGAGCTGTGATTGTCTCAATCCTTTTCAATCTCTCAACTGGAAAGTGAAGCATATGGATCACCTAGAGAGCTACCATGATATGTAGGTCCACCTAAAGCAACAGGTCAAGGAGATCATTACACAGAAGCAGCCAAGCGGCTGGAAACAGTTGATCATCTGTGCACTAAGCAAAGTGTCTTTTTAACTAAAAGATGCCCTAAGGCAAAAGAAACAGATGATGGAGAATGATCAGATTAGACCAAAAGTTAAACTTTTGGAACTTTTCCAACTTTAGGTTTGGAAAAGACCAAACTGCTCTGTACGTGCACTTTCCTTAGTTAAACATGGCTGCAGCAGCATCCTGCTGTGGGGAGAATTTTCCTTCAGCTGTTCTCAGTCAGTAAAAGAAGCCGTTTAGAAGAAAAACCCATGATCAAAATCGCCATAAACATATTTCCCCAACATTAAAACACAGCGATGGCAGCATCAGGCTTTGGGATCCTTTTATCAAACAGAAGCAAGAGTTTAAAGATACACTAGCCTGAATACAGGACAATCCAAAAAAAAAATGTATATATATATTAAAAGAGTTTCAATCTTTCTTCCGAACAGCACAAGCCTCTGTGCGGGGCAGTAACATACCGTATTTTCACGACCATAAGGCGCACCGTACTAAAAGGCGCAGTCTCAGTTATGTGTGCCATTACGGTATTTAACACACACATAAGGCGCACCGGACTATAGGACGCCGGTTTTATATACGGTAAATATCCTCTACTACGTTTACATACCTCTACTGCGTATTTAAAAATAGAGCGGGAGCAAAGCTGAGTAGGTTTGTGCTTTATTCATGTATTTATTACAAAGTATTAATCAAACCTGGGAGCTGACCGTGAGAGACACATCCGTGATGACACAGAGCGCTGTGATCACTCCTCTGAAACAGTTTGATGCATAAATGAACTTAAAATGCAGAAATCTGCCAGCAGAATATGTTCGCTTTTATTATCCTGGTGCCTGCAGTTTAGATTATTTAGATGAAAAACACCTACCAGCTGCAGGGGTGAACCGCGAGGAGGCGACCCGGCAAGAGGCTGCTGTTGAATGGGATTCCTACTGACAGCGCGCCGCTGGTATGTGGGGGTCTGAGCGGCTCTGACAGAAATAATATTGGAAGGTGGGATTGTAATCTGGATGAACTGACTGCAATGATTAAGTTTTCAGGTGTATTTTCTCACTTAAAAACATATTAAAACTACTTTATTCCCACTGATCACAGCAAATATAGCTGCAAGGAAAAGAAAGGATAGAGTAGCTCTGCCCAACGCGCGTCAGACACACTTTTGCACCGCGCAGCCAGAGCAGCAAAGTTGCTTCAGCCGCGCATCAGAACTAACTGGTACAAGCAGCAAAAAGGAAGCAGCAGATGCGTGAACGTACCATTACTTTGAACGGCCGATGTCGAGCGGTTGAAGTTCCTTTGTCAGACCTCCCAGAATAACAGCAAGCACAGTGTTCATTTGTTTCACCATGTTTTTCACATCGGCTATGGGATGGGCACGCATGGAGTCACAGATTAACAACAATGTTGATGCGTGGAAAAAAACCACCTGGTCTCCTTACATTCACCTCCCTCAGCCACTCTTTCTTCTCCTCAATGAGGAGTTCTGCATAAAGCACATACCTGTTCTTTTATACACAATCCACGCCCACACTTTCCCCTTTAATGTTCTCATGGTGGTCTTAACAACGTCCGCAGTAACAACACACACAGGGCGCACCACACTATAGGGCGCGGCGCACATTTTGAGACGTTTTGACATTTATATGCGCCTTATAGTCGTGAAAATACTGTAAAATCCCAATGACATATCTTGAAGTTCATGGTGTGAAAGAACAAAATTGGTATTAGTAGTTTTTCAGTGCATTACTGGGTGTAAAACACAGTTTAAGTTAAATTAAATCCCTCTGATTTGATTCAGCTAATGAAGATGGTTGGGGTTTTTGTGCACAGCTGTTGCGGGCGAAGCACAGGACAGCAGAGCAAATGGATCAAAGCCATTAATCACAATAATGTGCACATTTTCAACAGCACTCTCCCTCCAGGACACAGAGCCACAAGAGGGGGAGACCAAGGATTAGCAGGGGAGAAGGAAGAGATGCAGAAACACGCACAATGTGGGGAGATGAATGAAAGCAGCCGAAAAAGGGGAGGCATCAGCAAGGATAAATAACGACTATAAGGTTAGAATGATCGCCAGGGTGAAAAAACAGAGGAGGAAAGGGGAGGTCTGTATGATTCAGCGGGAAGGCTGGAGGAGGGGCAGCAGCATTACTCATAAAGTAGCCACCACTAATTTATATCAAGCTATGGGATTCACATGTTCGGATCTGGAGGTGTGTGAGTGAATTTATTCCACAGAGGAGGTAGCTTGTGAATCCATTTGGAAAAGAGGTGGAGGCGTGCGTGAGCGAGCGTGTCAACACGGGAGTATTTATGGCCTAAAGTGCATCGCTGGCATACAGCTGCATGAGTGATGTGGAAGTCAGCGAGTTTGATGTGAGGCAACAGGAACACATCAACAAACTGACCTGATTAAACATGGTGGAACCTACAGAACGTGCTATATATAGATGCATATATAGAATAACAGTGCTGGAAAGCTTCACGTTGAACTTATATCTAAAGCTATTGCCTGCAGAAAAATGAACATTTGTAAACTTCAGTCAAAAAGTGGGGCTTCGAAATGTCTCAAACAGCTCACCCGCACACAGGAGAGCCTAGAAGCTGTACAGACAGCATGAAAAATGGATCTGCTATATTTGTCATTTCAGACTCATGAATAAACGTTGGAAAGTCTCTCCAATGTGAGAAGTAAGCAATAACGTCACTCCTATGGCCTTTACAGTCAAGGATGAGGCCTTCAGTTCTTTGTTAGTGTTAATAAATAGGATGTTTCTGTTCTGCAAAAACTATGGAGTATAATTTATTGAACTGCTTTCCCTACACGAAACAAGATGTATTAATGCAGAGAAGGAAAACATTTTCAATTACGTAAAAAATACAAACAACTGTGTATTCCAGGTAATAGAATAATGTCTTTAGCTGCTTATTATCTAGGCATTTCTCAGAGTACCAGCCCTGCAGGAGGACATTTCAATATAATCAGACAATAACAGACGGTAATGCAGAAAGGGCAGCAGCTGGCTTTAAGAAACTCATATTCAAGTTGATGTTTTGTTAAAAAATTCAATCATCTTTTCAAGCACGGTTAAAAGAAATGCTATAAAAAGAAACTGCTTAGATGCACAAGGTCAATGTATGCAGAGAGCTCGACGAAAAATGTAGGACTGAAAATGGCTGAAGCCAGAGTTTACAAGCAGTTGTGGGCAGAAGGTTCCAAACACCAAACACAGTTTTACATCCCATTTCCATTTTGTGCTTTAATCATCGATTTAAGCCAACAACTTAATGAAGCTGCTTGATTTAAAGTGGATCACTTCAAATTCACAAATTGATCCAATTGTAAGGAAATCATCTCAGATTTAATGAGTTTCCTTCAGAATCTTTTCTCAAGTTTTTATCTAATGTCATAGAGAAACAAGTTCTAATCAGAAAAATCTAGGGGTGGAACAGTTCACAAAATCCACGGTTCGGTTCACGGTTTCGTGGTTTTTGGTTCGGTATATGTTGATCGTTAGGAAAATCTATTATGTCTTGTATAGTACAACACGTATTGCACAATGATTGCACACTGTCGCACTTTTATCCACAACTTTCTTTCCGTCGTCATCGTAGGTCACTCTAAATGCAAAGTGGTCCCATACAGCAGACCTATAAAGTGCTGCTGGCACGTCTTCCAAGTCCTGTTCTTTCCCACTCGCCATACCCACACAATTCTCCACAACTGATTTTTTTCTGCTACACCCGGCTACGCTGCTTCGCTTCATCTCGTTTACTACTGGTGGTTGGCTTTGGTCGCAGTACCGCCACCTTCTGCTCTGGAGTGTTCACGCTTCGCCTATGAGAAAAAGGAACAGCGCATGAACCGAATGCAACACACGCGAATCGAACCGAACAGTTCAGACGGTTTTCATAAACCGTCTATCCCTAGAAAAATCCAACTTGAGTTAATATGAGAATAATCTTAACTCATCAGCTGGGATTTTCAAAGTTATGTCTG